AAAATAGTCGAAAGAACGAAATTGAAAAACCCAAACAACACGTAAAAATCCAAATGAATCGAATCGAACATCGGTGGGGAATTAAAAGACATGACAAAGTGCATTCGCTCGCACAAAATGAAACCGAATCGAGATGATCAAGAAGAAAACAATATTATGAACGTTGAAGCTGGCAACAGTCGAATGGAACCACAACAACAACTTGGTGTGTGTGTGTGTGTGTGTGTGTGTACAACGGAAAAAACGTAAGAGGAACTGAAAAAATCGACTCACCAAGCAATAGCAGAAAATTAGAAGAAGAAAACGTAAATGGAGTAGAGCAGAAATCGTAATAGATGAAATAAAAAGAAAACACACGAAAGAAGTCATTCAAAACGGAAAACAAATATAATTTATTTTTGGTGAGTGTTTTTTTTCTGGTCGTGAGTGTGTGTGCAATGCATGTGCGGCTATGACTCTCGGCAGCTGGTACATCTGTTTGTTCATTCTCTCGGTTCACACATTTGCCGCCACCATCGAATGCATCCACGAATGATAGATACAATTTTGGTTTTCGCGCGCGCGTGAGACACAAAGCAAGAAGATAAAGATTGAACCAAAATTGAAAGAAGAAAGACCAGAGAGAAAATGTAACATTTTTGAACAATGAACTCCCTTCTAAATGCTTATTCTTCAATCGGACAGATTTTGTTTGCTTCAAGTTAAAATAAAACAGAAAATATTGACATCATTCATCGAGAAACATTGGAAACCTTTTAATTTCAGAACATTAAAGTTCAAAACGTAGTTAACGCCACTGCGAAGTGGAACTGAAATGCACGTTGACAGAGGGAAAAAACAATAATAAAATGCACAAAAATGTGTGCTATTTTCATTATGTATCATTCAAATTCGAATGGCAATTAGCATGAAATGTACGAAAAAAAACCAAAAGTATTCGGTCGAAAACGATTTTACAATCGATTGAGTAAGAAGAACGTGTTCGCAACGAATTGAATTCAGTGTTTGGGTGTGTGTGCATGTGAAATGCGATAGTTGAACCCACAATGCGGTGGCTGTAATGTGAGAGTGTAAGTTAAAAACGATTTGTCGATGTTGATCGAAGTGACGACCGAGAAACAGTTTTTTTTTTGTTTTTGCATAAGAAAGACAAACGTGATCGGTGAATTGTGAATATTGAACATAACGAGGGAATCGGATATGCCGCAACGCAGCAGGCAGTCATCAAACCAGAGCACATGTTAAACATAATTCAATGAACAAGCACAAATGATTTCTTTTCTTCGTTTTTACAAAACTAATAAGAAAACGCATAAAAAGACGTTGAAAAAAAGAGCCGAGTGCAAACAAAAACCATCCGAAAATAAGAGATCCGTACGAAAATGGACCAAACCAATGAAATAAGATGGAAAAAAGTAAAGATGTTCGGATGATGCGATCGAGAGAAAATAAACACACACATTGAGAGAGGGAGAGCATGTGTGTGTTTGGTTCCGTGAAAAAGAGCACAACATGAAACGAGAACGATATGCTTGTTTAAGTACGCAAAACGCGCACATGTGTGCTGATTCTTGAATTGATTTCCATTTTTTTTTTTCATTCGTTCATTTATTCTTCAAAAAAGAAATATCAAACTTCATATTCATTTTGGTGTTGTGTCCATTTCACAATTTCTACATGAGTCATGAACGAAGGAGAAAGAGCAAACACGATTTGACTGCACACAACCAAATGAGGCAACACAGAATGCCGTACCATCGAAAATCCTCATGCTTTTTTTCGTCTTCTTCTTTCATTCTCCTGCGTCTTGTGTGCCCCGCACGCGGACACTCTGCAGAACACATGAATGTGAACATCAGCATCCCAGGCGATTTCGGTGTTGGGCAACGCGTTTGTCGAACGTAACGAAGGAATAATAATGAAAAGTAGCAAAATAATAGCAGTGTCGATTGCGTAACATACATACATATACAACGCGATCACATCGATTACAACATCAACGTTTTTCATATACCCGATTTCGGTGCATCGCACTTCTTTTTTTTGCGCTTTGCCTGCTTTGCCAACGTTCTCGCAAACACCGGCATGTTATTTTTAAAGAGAACTAAGTTTCGTTACATTTCATTTCTCTTCGTTTCTTGCAGTTCGTTTTGTTTAATTTCGGTTTTCGGTTCAGCGCGAAATTTGAAATTCGGGAAAGGTTCGTGTTTTTTGTATGATTTTGAATGGTGTGTAAACACTGTAAAGTGCGTCAAATAAACCGTACGTAAACAGGTTATTGGCTGAATTGAAAATCGATTAAACGATCTCTCCTCTCTCAATTTTATTGTATGTTAAACCATTGAACGGAAAGAACGAGCCATTTTTTCATATTGAGCATTTAATTTATAACACAAGGTTCGATTAAATTTCGAATGTTTTTTTTTTGTTGTTGTTGTTATTCTTTGTTGTGTGCGCACACTTGAATTCTTTGATTTTTCACACAGACATTCGATTCGAAATGCCATGAATTCACCAAATGCCCATAAATATTTTCATTGCAATTCGAAATAAAAGTGATGACGATCAATGGGGTTTTATATTCCCTTGATTTAGTGTATTACATGTTCTGGATTTCACATGGATTGCCATTCAACATTGAACAATGGGTTTACATTGAGCGTTGGTGAAACGGATGACCTTTGACCAGGTGCATTCTCAATTGGACTGTTCGATGTGATTGCTTCAATTGAACTGGTACTTTTCGATTGACATACGAAGAATGTCGGCGATTCGATGAATTGACGGTGAAAGCCGACGATAGTCCAACATAAAATTAATGCATTTGTTTTATTGCTCCAGAAATGTTTTACAATCCTTAACAGAAAAAGTCTTCTTTACCTTTGACTTATATAAGGCACTTTATCCGTATTTGCCACCACCGTCGTAGAGCAATGTTGGATGAAATGTTGAATGAAATGAAGGATAACTAATATTACGACAACCCTTAACCGTGATTGAGCGTTATTTGTCTTTGTTGTTGGTTGCGGCATGAAATTTGAACTACGGCTTAGTCGAAATCAATGCTGCAAAAATGTTGTCTATGTGTGTAAAATGCATTTCATTTCCCGTTTAAATGCAAAATCAACACAAGCATACAAATATGTATTCATCACACGGTTTAAGCGAACGCGCCAAGCTTCACTTCATCCAGTGCTGTCTGCGCATAGAAATAAAACGACGAACACAAAAAAACAACAACAGAAAATCTAAACGAACGAAAACCCAGATCCATTTCAATGGCTTGATGGCAACCATAAATCAGTGAATGTTAATGCATGCAGTACAATTTAATGTGTGTTTATATACATTGTCTGTGTGTGAATAAAGTTGTGCTACAAGATTTCTGATGTATGTTTGTAGCGTTAAATTTTCAGCTTTCGTATGGTGGCCGGTTTGAAGTGTTTCGTGAATCGTGGATTGCTCATAAATAACCGTACTGTCAATATAGCGCTGGAAACAGAATTGCAAGCAATGGGAAGAACTGTCTGCCGTGTGAAGAATCGATCCGTGGCAAAAAAAAACACGTACACACACACAAGGAACTTGTAATTTCGTTCGAGTGCTCGCTCGGTTGAGAGATAGAGAAACATTTTTTATGAAGACAAAGCAACAAAATCACGTTTGCCCATCGTCATTTGCAAACATTTATATGGCTCTCTTTACATTTCGGTTTGGTGTTCACTTGACATTGACAGTGATTTGATCGCGTCATTCTTAAGCGATTCTCACATATATATTGTTGCGAACGCAGTGCCATGAATTAAATTTGACAATGCACATTTTGTTGATAATAATGCAAATATTTATTTATTTCGTGACATTCGTCAATTATTCGAAATCAGTGTGAATGCGATTCGGTCGGGGGCGACAATCATCCACATTTCCAATTAATAGTTCATAATTTATGCATTTCAAATGTTTAAATATGCCATTAATTAACAAATGATGTGCATTTATCACAATAGATCGAAATACCGTTTGATGCATTATTATTTCTTTGTAGTTTGTACGTGTATGCCGATCGAAGGTGTTTTATTTAAATGCCGTTGTTTTGTGTCAATTGGTGAGTTGAAACTTGAATAAAATAAGAGATGATTGTGTGACTTTTGCTTTCGTAGATTGCATACGCATTCATGTTCACCTCGACGGTGTGTTTTTTTTTTTGTCTCGAAGAGGCTCGTTGTGAATGGATCATCCTACGCATTATTCTGTCCTGCTTCTCTCTGCGCCTCTCATCGCTCATGCACACATATTGATTTTGATTATGATCCAGCATATTCTTCGGCACTTCATATCGTTTGCATTTTCAGAGAAGTTGTGGGCTTTGAATAAAAATTACATTCCACATTGAACGAGAACCGAAAAGAAAAATCATAAAAACAAAATCAAACAAAAAATCAAATGTCCGCGTAGGACTCACATACAAAGAGAATGCAGGAGAGAGAGAGAGAGAGAGAGCGAGAGCGAGTGAGGGAGGGAAAGAGAAAGAATAACCGAAGAGCTGTAGGCTTTTATTGTGGGCTGATTAAAGTGCATAATTGGTTTTTATGTGGCCTGTGTATTATAAGAAATAATAATCGTCGATTGGCGAAAGTATTAGAGACTTATATAGATGAAGCACATAGGTAATCCAGCATAATCGAAAATCGACTAACATCTGCACAAAATGCACAGTTATACAAGCCGGAGGCTTGTATATGTGCCGTGGTGTATGTGTGTTTGTGTTGTTGTTCATCATGTTAATTAATTCTCTTCGGTTTAAGAGTCTGTTGTTTTCGTACGCCCGTCTTTTGTATTCACACTGATCACAGCCGATATTTGATTTATGTTCTTATGCATAAAATATAAAACAATGTTTTATTTTTGAATTGAAATTGTTGAATTGAAAAATACCAAAACAAGAATAAAAATGAACGGGAAAAATAAGAAACGTTAAATGTTATGTGTTTTGCACTCACCTTCATGTCGTTGATAATTTGTTGAAATAGTGTGCCAATGACACCACCATCTCGTTCCAAATTTATATCCATTGTTATGCGTTTTCGTTTTGTTTCCGTTTCGGTGTAAGTGTGTATGGGTTTTTGTTTTGGTTCGTGTTGTTTGTTGTTTTTTTCTTGTCAATTTAGTCGATGCTCGTTTGTCGCGCGAATTGTATTATTGTGCAAACCATACGCCAGACAGTGGCTCATATGCCCGTGCCGAATAGAACGAAATATATGAATATCAAAACACAGATTCGACTTTGTATGCGGGCGAATAAAGGGATTGGGCGAAAATGTCACTTTTTTTATTATTATTTTCGATGTATGAGATATACGATCGATTTTCACAACGATTTTAAGATTGTCTATTCTTATGTGGTTTTTCACTGTTTCTTCCTTTACTAGCGGTTATTTCACAAGACTTATATTTTACTGCCGTCGTCGTTGTGTGTGACTGTGTGTGTGTGTGTAAAGCCGCAGAGCGAAACACAACGCACTTAAAATACGCACAACTTACTCATATTGAAAGAGTCACAACATTTGCCAGCCGATAAATTAGATTGAATGAAAGTGTTGGCAAAACGTGGCATTTGCGGTGCGTCGACAATAGAACTGTTGTTGTTGTTTAAGCCACGACAAGTAAAGAGACATATTTGATGCATACGAAATGGAGAACATAAAACCCAAATGGGTTTTTGTAATTGTTTATATGAATTTTGTGTTTGTGTGTGTATATTTTAGCAGGCCGTTCAGATCGTGCACTATTTTCTTCGAATTCTTATGTCAACTTTATATATATATTGTTTCGGTTCGTTTGTTCATTTATCGTATTCGGTGTCGTTTTTTTTCTTTACACTTCGCACTTCTTCTATTTAATATCAATGAGACGCGCGCAAAAAGAATGAAATTCACATGTATACATGGAGAAAGGGAGAGATAATATTTAAAATGCAATGCACAAAGTATATAGACCCAATCACTTGTTCACCTTAACTTTGTTTGTGTATTTTTTCTTCGTTAGGTTGGTTGGTTGTTTGTGTATGTGTGATTTGGTTTCAACGACGACGCAATCGAAGAAACAACTATGCGATGCCCACTGTTTGCTCTAGGCTAATTGCTTAATTCACTTTATTTCATTTGCCGATTTCACACTTTAGCACACAATTGTTGTTTCTCACTTTTTTCCAATTCGGTGTTTTTTTAATCGTCATTTACTTTTGCCGACGATGGATTCAACAGAAATTGAAAATGCAATGTCTATTTATTAACCGATTATATTCGGATTGGGTTTTTATTGTTGACACAATCGAAATTTGATTTGCATTTTGCCGAAGTGGAGTGTGCGTGTATTAAATTCGATCCTGGTCGTTTGGCAGTGTCGATTCCAATTCTCTGTAATCAAATGAAAAGAAAAACGAAATATTAATAAATATTGCATGTGTGAATGTTTGTATTAAAATTTTCGTAAATTATCATCATCATCATCATCATCATTTCGATTGATGTGGAACAATATGAATAACCTGTTAATGTAAAACTTTTGTTCACATCCAAAAGTTACAATGCCATTAAGTAAAATTACGATTTTTTTCCGAGGGGATAATAAAATGTGGTTACATTAATGTGAACTCGCACTCATTAACATTAATCGATCACAAATGAGATTTCTCTATTTGCCAATAAATTTGCCGGATACTTAGGAAAAGTGGTGGCCAATCGGCATTCGGACGATCAACATATGAACCAGCTGAAACCATTCGCTTACAATTCCATTCGTTGCCAATTTCAATTTGTTTGTGGCATGATACGAAACTCATTTTTTTTTTGGTTCGTGGATATTACCACAATTTAAATTATGCTCACTTAAATTACATAAACTTTGAATTGGTTGGCAAATTGACGGACGAATATTTATTTAGCTTTTTGGCTGCTGTCGGTGTGGATAAATAAATCGTTCATTTCTCTGTCTGCTGCTGTCACTCCCGCTTTACCGTGGCCATTTCTATATTCTATATACATATGAATTCGCAATGCGAATGCGCGAAATCGACACTTTTTGCTCTTTAACCCGGAACAAAGGCAGCAAACAATTGAAAATTATCGCAAATAAATGTGTGTGCAATACTTGCGAATGGTATGCATATTTATGCCCGATATAATGGATACTCAAACTGTTATGTCACTTATAACCCATACCGTCGCACATATTTAACGCCCGAACGTGTTGATCGCCATGTGCAAAAGCACCGAACATATGTGAATCACAATGAAAGGGACGGACAACAGTTTATTTGAGAAATAAAACCGAACAAAGACCACAATAACACGGCAGCGTCACCTTCCATGAATTAAAACTGATGTTTGGGGGGCATTGTTTAGTCAATGGCCCAAACATATAGTGTACAAGAGCAGAGACATCGCATCCATATGTATACATGAATCAAGCTTGCATGAAATAGACGCGCCACACAAACGATCATCAGTCACACACGGTTCACCAAAAACAATTTAAGAACGGCAAAACAAAACAACAACAAAAAAATGTTGCCAATAGCCAAGCACGTCAATATTTTATACTATTTTTTGTTGGCCCGGTCGCCAATTCAATTTTCCGTTGATTTTTCATGGAGAGGTCGAGACTTTGATTGCTTTCATTTTGATTGTGCGCCACAGTTTCGATATATTTACAAAGTGCCTCTAGAGTAAGAAACAATGCAAACAAAAATCACACAAAAAGAAGCGAAATATATATATAAAAATCAACCATAAAATGCCGTTCATAATTCGAATAAACTGTATCCAAAATACTACATAATTCGTTCATTATAGCAATTTCATCGACCGAGTCAAAACTACAAAAATATGTTCGCGCATACTATGCAATGCAATATTGTAATGCAGACGGATGCATGGGCCAGAGCAAGACACAGATAGAATTGACGATGACAATCAATGATAGGTTTTTTTCGGTTAAATGTTCATTGCGACAAAGCCCGAAACATTTACAATCAAGTTATCATGATGAAAAACAGTCTGGCGATCGGGAAATGAGCATTTTTCTCTCATTCTGAACCAAAGACGACAAAGAAAAATGTAGAAAAAACAGAGACTGAAACAAAAACAGTTTTGGATAAAACGATGTTCCATATTGTCGAGTTTAATGGTTCTCTTTCGCGTTGCCACTGAGTTTGTTGTTCAGCGTGCGCTGTTTTATTCGATTTGAAAACAACGAAAATAAAAAAAATGTAGGACCTCCGTATTGGTTTTGAGCGATTTTTTTTCTCTTTATTTTTCATTTATTGCGCGTAGCGCGACTGTAAGTTTTTATACAATTTCCAGCCGCTTCAAACCGCAAAAGAATGCCGGCCAACTAAATGACACATTAAATTGTACAAAACTAACAAGAGCGAAAAAAAGGAATTATAAATTGAATTAAAAATCGTTCTTGCTTCTCTTTTTCTCTCTGTCTCTCCAAATGATGTTTTCTTCCAATTTGGTCTAAATCGCTTAGATTTCCTTTTATTTCAATTTTCTCTTGGACCCCGTACACTCGTTGGTGACTTTTATGCGGCGTTTTTGAAACGGCATGAAATGAGCGTAGAAAATGTATCCAATTGTAATGGCAAATATTGAAATGTCCGTTCGTTTCCGTGCTGGGAACGACTGTATTCTGGAGCCAATTTGCGACAACGATTGTGGCAAACGACAGTACGAAACATGAAATTTTCGTGCCCATTTAATCGGTTACGGTGCGGTGCTACTGTGTAACAAAAACAAGTAAGTAATAAAAAAATGTTTTTTTTTTTAAAGCGATTCGCGCCATCAAACGAAAACTCTCTGACTTTCATGTCGATAAATGAGGATCGTTTTCCTGGGCGTTTTACACAATGAGCACTTACTTCAATTTAAATGATTTGTTGAATTACACATACGGCTCCACTTCTATAAACAGTCGATGTTACGGATTTTTTGTTGTTGTTGTTGTAACTTTTCTCTCCTCGAATACGAAGAAAGAAACAAAAATCTGTACATAACAATAATCGTGCTCATGTGAGTGGAATAACCTTGTCTTGATCTCAAATTGGTTCGCATGTGTATTTTCATAAGATTTTCAACCGAAAAAAGATACACACATATACGCCGACCAATTATTTGTACTTTTAATACGCCACATAATTAAATTGCTCGTATCGAAGGAAGCAAATAGATGCGTTCCGAAGTTATGGTCGTTTTTTTTCGTTTCTTTGTCGTCATTATACAGTCTTAATCCATAAAACATGGTGTATATGGTTTTTTTTTTTCTCGTCGTTTTCGTCTAAAAATGGTGAATTCAGTTAAGGTCATCTGGGCTAATGTGTGTTATTAGAAGTTCGTTTTTTTTTATTCGCATGCGCATGTATCATAATGAATTATTGTTTGACGTTTCTCACACTGGTGCGGCCACCGTGTGCAATTTTCAACACATCGATCCAGCTAGAAAATTGATCGATCACACACTAATTACATTAAATATGATCGTAGCGGGTAAATTTGTTTAGGCCTGAAGTAGCATGAATGGAAAATCGCAATTTAACATTTCGTTTCATTACAATTATTACGTGCTTTTTCGATATAAATAAAAAATGCGGTTGCACACACACCCGTTTTATGTGCAAGCTTTTCTTTTGCCTTCAAGGATTTGTTAACTCATCCGAAATCAACATTATCGAAATGGCAAACAACAAAACATGATCAATTCAAACTTTTATGATGATAAATAAAAGTGAACTGTTGAACAGTGTTGAATGGGTTAATTTGCATTTTTGCAAAATGAACAACATACATTTGAACAGTTGCCACGACAAAGAGGCAAACAAAATAGAGAGAGAGAAAAAAAGAACGACACATTATTTCAAAACAAGTCTCATCGGATTGTGTTCTGAAGCCCAATGCAATTGTTTTTTGTCACTCTTTCTAACCGTGAATAATCATAAAAATGTTGTAATGTCTTACTTGAGCTCAAATTCAAGCACAAATAACACTTAAAATGGTGATTTCAACAAGTCATAAAACCGCACATTGAACACATTCAATTAAAAATGCAACAACCAGAGGATGTATAACATTGCATATTCATATAAACTCTATTAATAAATTCGTTGCAGATTTTTATGGACAACAACAACTTTTCCAATCGAAATAAATCAATAAATGGTTGGCGTTTAAATGTGTCTCTTTCTGATTGTCTTCTTTTCTATTTTTATTTTGGTCTCTCTGCCTCTCTCGTCAATCGTTCTGTACTTAAACCGATAACTTTATTCAAACATATTTTTCGATCGATGTCAATAGCACTAGCTGACCACGGAAAAGTGTGCATTGCATTTAGTAAAAAAACGTGCCTATGTGTGCGATCACTGTGTTATCACATCCCAATCACACAGCGGTATTGGATGGCGCAACTTTGCCACGCGTTCAATTCTTTTCGTGACAATAATATTAAATAATAATATTTTATGTGATATTCATATTTGATATGGTGCGATTCTTGAATCGTATTCTTTATTTTTCCGTTTTGCGTTTATCGCATCATGTGCATAGATTCGTGTGTGGCGGCTGGCAATTCACGGTTTGTTTGTGTATGTTTCGGGTACGCAATAAAATTGCGTTGTCTTTATCAATTGTTCAGACGATCGAACCATATGCTCCGTCATCATGTGGCTGATGCCATTTTAATTATATTGATTGTGAAACGACAACATTGTTTACTCAAATGGCAAAACGTTCAAATATTTCAATTCATAGCATTTGGCGATGGTAGTCAGTGCACCATAAGTCGCAAATTATATCTCAATTCTTTTTATCTTTATCAAAGAATTTCATCGCAATACTCCGTTCGGTATTGATTCTATGTGCAAGTTTATTGCTCGTGCAAATTGTCTGCCATGAATTTTACGATCCAAATATTTATGGTGTTCGAATTTTTTTTCCCAAATGGCTGTGTGTTGGCTTTATTGAATTTAACTGGAATCTCAATGGATTCAGAAAAAAAGTCAATGGTTTTTTTTTTGGCTGTGATGTACTTTATGCTTTTCATTCGACTTAAAGTGAAATTCTCATTATGGCGCGGTGGATGCTTTTACACACCAACCGACATTCCGCATCACTTTCAAAACAAAAATCATTTGTTCATTATTTGTTTTAGTTCGTTTTCGTTTCGAATTTTATGGAGTTAAAAAGAACAGAAACCATCCCTTTATTTCGTCTTAGTTTTTGAGAGAATTTTCGACATTCTAAACCGAGAGATATGGAAATCGTGAACAAAGCACGTTTTACGTGATTTTGTAATTTTATGTTTATGAGAATGGATTACGTACGATGTCGGATGAAGTCTTTTCCTCTCTCTCTCTTTCTCG